GATGTAAAATAATATATATTATTTCAAAATACTACGAGTAGAGTTTAAATAATACATTTCTCTCAGGACTCCTGACTTGTCTCCTTGTATTCTTAGCAACGTGATCATGCACATCTGGACTTGTTTTATGTTAAGGGGTTATACGCAGTTAGAATTTTCAAAAATCAATTTTTTTTTACATTTCCAGAATATACATATATCTGACTATATTTCCAGAAAATTTCAAATCGATCCGGTAAGTACTTTCCGAGATATACGCATATTTGTAAGGGCGGTTAAAAAGTAGGCGGAGTAAAAACCAGAGTAGAAGCTGTTTTTTTCTTTTTTGATTATTGAAAATATTCACTCGTGTGAATGTAGCCACCAAGAAACTTTTCGAAAAAGCTTGTGCTGAAGAAAAAGATGCTGCAGAGGGTCCATCTTATGGCCCTGGAATAGATGACTCCAAGTAAGTAAAAAAAGTGTTATCTATGTGTAATTTTTTTAATCAAACAATAAGGGCAATTTGCCATCGGCCATCCTCCCTTTCAAACCAAACTACAGACTACACTCTACACAGCACTACCATGGCAATCCACAGCAGAGCTCGCCGACATCCACTGCCCCACGTTGAATCACACGTGCGATGCGCTACCCCTCTTTTGGTTGAAAAACAGCGCCGTCCCAGGGGGGGGCGGTCGGTGTATTGTCCTTCATGAAACGGTGATCGAAAACTGCTACGAAAACAAAACTATTAATGCCGAAGATTAGCCTTTGTGTTTCCTTTTTATGTGTATAGCTGGGAAATAAACGACTTGTATTGATATGCAGATGTAAACCCAATGCTAGATGAAAAATCAATTCTCTAACTCATGGTTCAAGTTTTTTTCTCTGGAAACTAAACCTATTTTGTATTGATAAATTATTAGAGCATTAAATTCTGCATATAGTGACAAAGAGTAGAGGTACTCCTTAACAAATGCGTTAACTTTTGCAATTAAGTTTGTGTAAGAAAAGGTGAAGAGACAATACCAGTACAAATATGATGAACAAAAATTCAAACGACAGTAATCAAATACAAAATACTGATATTTCATAGCATATTAGAAGTAAATTTTCTACGCTTCAGAAAAGACTAAAGTAGTAGTAGTAGTAGTAACACTAAAATTAGCAAATAATTATACCAAAAATATATAAAAAAAACTTTTCCCACAACTTCATCAAGTTGCGAAATATATTCCAGTTTAGGTGGGGAAAACTTTCATCCTCTGTTCGTACTGTAAGACCGCACAGATCACAGGAAAATCATTAATCTTATTCCTTGTAACGTGGTCTCAATTACAATCCATAAATTGCCGTAGTGATATCAGCATTTTTATCAACCACGTTTGAAAATTAGCTGTACAGAAACCTAGGAACAGATGTTGGCAGATATCTAGATCGGGCGGAGAAACAGCGCACCAGGGAAATGAAAGGCGAAGCTTGTCTCATCGGAAAGGTACTAGATGGCAGCACGGATACTAAGAATTTAAACATTTTTATTGACTACTGCGTTCCAATGTAGATATACTGATATACATATTCCTTTATTATAAAAACGCAACATTTAATAAATATAAATTGGAATTGGAATATTAACTTCCATGGTATATGCTTGTTTAATCATGTCAAATTGAATTAAATTTTAAGTGCAATCACACAATTTTGTTTTTGATTAATAGATTAATTTAAGTATCTAATTTTTTAAGTTTGGATAATATACTTGTTCGTGCCTTGGGTACTTCCAAAAATGAGGCTCGAATGTCATAGTATTTGATTCCATTATTACAGCAAAGGATTTTGACGAGTTGCGCTTTTGAATTGTGTTGAAACTAACAATTTAGCAAATATTTCATATAATAACAGAATCGTAAAAGAAATTTTGAAAAAAATTATGTAATTCCTAACTTTTGTTTCATAATAAATGTACCAGATGCTATGCTTCAACTCAGTTCAGAGCGAGCGCATTGTTCCCAATTGAATATAGTCTACACAGTTTACAATTTCAAAACCTTCAAATTTTAAATAGTTCAATTAAGTGGACCTTTAAATCGCAATTTTGGTCACCTTGCCAGAATTTTTGATATAAGTTAGTTTGAGGTATATAATAACAATGTGACAGTAATTCATTTTCAACCCCCGGCCAGGCATGAAAAAAGATGAAATAAGATAACTTAAAAGGAATAAGAGCTAGAAAAAAAAATATCGTGTAAAAGTTATAGAGCATAAAATTCTACATAAAAATGGTCTATCGTGTTTTCTTGTACTATTAAAATTGACAGAGTTAAGGAGACTAGAAGTTATGAAATGATTTCAGAAATTTAAAAAATTATAACAAGCAGAAAAATGGATGAATTTTATAATTTTTTTTTTCAATCTACTCTAAAAAATATAAACTATCTTTCCAGAGAAATAATTTTTAATAAAAGTGTTAACAATTTCACAAAGCTAACGTGATTTTTTATCTTTTAGTCCAGTCACTGAAAGCGAAAATAAGGTAAAAGCTCCCAAATTTTTCGGATAGCATGGATTTTTATGAAAATTTGCATACAAGCTTATCTGACCCCCCCACTTCAAAAGTTATATTATATAGATGTGTGTTTTTTTCTATTTGGGGGTGAAAAGTACCCTTGTACGAAAAAAATGCGAAAATCGCAGATTTACGTATTTTAAAGATTCAATTCATGTTCAAATATGTTGGATAAAGTTCCTTTCATGATTTTTAATATAATTTATGAAATTTTATTACTTTTCAACCCTTAAAAACCTTAAAAACTACCCTTCCATGGCCAAAAAAATACAAACAAAAAGTTTTTAACAGTTTAAAATTTTCTTTTGGTGCATTCACAATGTATTGCATTTCTTTTGTTATTCATTAGAAAGCATACGACTCATTACAAAGTTACAACCCTTAAAAACCATCCCTTATAATAAAATAAACAAAAAAATATTATTGAAAGCTTGAGATGTTTTAATGGTATGCATATGTTGACTTATAAACTTTTTATTGGTTTTCAAATGATTTGTGATATATTGCAACTTTTCAGCCACCCAAAAAACTCTTATGGAAGACCTACCCCTCATAAAAAGCCCTACCCCTTATAGAAACATTTCATAAAATTATATGAGAGTATGATAATATAATTTTTTTAAATTTTATTGAATTTATTCTTAATATTTTTTTGTTAAATTAATATCAAATAAAAAACAAATATATATTTTATTATAAATGGATGTATTGTACAAAATATTTAAAAAATGGTCTATTATTTTTTACGTGTGTATCATAAAATATTTAATTCTCATCACTATCATCATTTTACCATAACTTTTGTAATTTTAGTTATAAATTTACTCAAAAAAACATTTTGTAGGGAATTTAAAGCACTTTAAGTTCTGTGATTTGCAGTTTTTTCGAGCTCTTCGTTTTTTAGAGTTGTAAGCTAAAAGGGCTTAGGAAAGGCAGTCTTGGAGCTTAGTTTTGAGTTTCTAACGGTCATAACTCTGTCAATTTTTGTCCTACAAAAATTTAAAAAAAGCAAATTGTTCAGTAAGAAAAAACCCAACAATTTCTTATTCCTTCATTTTATTATACCTTTGTTAGTTTTTGAAATATTTTGAAAAAGGCGATATTTTAAAAAATTGAAAAATTTTATTCAAAAGTACTTAAATGAAATATCTTTTTAAATTTAGGCTTCTAAAATCAAATTCCCAGAATCTACTGTTAATACATAAATAAAGTAAATTGCAGAAGGAAAACGTTTAATTTTTTTTCCGTCAAGTCATTAATTTTAATACCGATTTTTTTTTCTCCAAAATCAAGACAATCATTTTATTTTGATTGTAACTTCATTAGTTTTCATGCTAACTACATTTACCACAATTCAATTTAAAGGTCTTTTCAAGAATTTTAAAAAGTGTTATATAAGTTTTCCTCGAAAAACCTTTAATTTTTCCGCTACGTTTCGATTATAGCTATCTTCGAAATTGACTTCTGAGGTTATTTTTAATAAAAAAATTTCCACCCTCCAGAAGGGGTGGCATCCACCCCTAGGGTAACAGCACACATCGGCACTATATACCTTTTGTTTCTTGGGCTATTCCCTAGCTACAGTTCAAATTTCACGACAATCTATTCCATCCGAAAAAATTGATAGCCAAAATGCTTCAGTGATGACTATTTATCGTAAAACAGATTTTCGAAAGCAACTTTTCATTATTTTAAATAATCAATCGAATGGCATTGAAAAAATTGTTTTAGTGTTAAATCACAAAAAATAACGATTAAAAAATTGAATTTGTCATAACTTTTTTATTAAAAATTAAAAAATATTTCTATTTCTCTGAAAAGAAAGTTTCATTTTTTAGAATAGATAAAAAAATTACAAAATTCATTCATACTTTTCTTTATGATTTTTTTTTTAATTTTTGAAGTCATCCCTTAACTTCTAGCTACCCTAACTCTGGTTTATTTTAGTAGTACAACAAAAAGTCTATAGACCATTTTTATGTAGAATTTTATGCTCTACAACTTTCATATATTTTTTTTTGTAGCCTTACCCCTTTTGAGTTATCTAGATAAACCCCTTTATTATATTTTTTTTTACCCCTGACTGGGGGGTTGAAAAACAAATGATTGTCACTTATTCTTATTATATAGTTCAAACTAACTTATATAGACATTTTGTACACAATGTTCTTACAATACCAATTTTATATTTCTAATAATGAATAACGTGTATTTCTTTCAGTGTACTGAAGGTTTTTCTTCGAAAATATGCAGCAAAAGCATTTGCTACCTTTTGTTCATCATACCGATTACGTCGCCTACTGGATCCACCAAGAGGAAGACGCAGACGACATCGTTTTAAGACGGCTTTTTGCCGAACCGGTCCCTTTTCCGTGCCTATCGCGGCGGCGGGCGACCGGCCCAGACGCGACAGGCGTGCTACGACGTAGTGGGCGCTGCACGGCGACTTTTGTCGTCTATCGCTCGTCCCGTCTCGGCAGTGTTTGTCCGCTTCGGGAGGGGACTGTACCGCCGCCGAATTCGGAAAAAAACACGGCCGTTCCCAGGGCGCAACCATGCAGATGATCGCCGTCGAGCAGTTCATAGAGGCCGTGAAGAGGAGGCCCGCCTTGTGGGACTCGCACTCGGAGGACTACAAGGATCGCGTTATGAAGAAGGACGGGTGGCTGGAGGTGTGCCAGATTATGTGCCCGAAGTTCGCCGACAAGACGGAACAGGAGCGGGCCCAGATAGGTGAGTGGCGTTCGTTAGGTCGACGTTTTGTTTGAATTTTATCGCAGATCGCGGATTGCTGTTCGTGTCGTGAAGCGGATGGGGCTCAGAGTTGCCAACTTAGGCAATTTTTCGCCACTAGAGCGACTTTTAAGCATCTGCTTGCGACTGAAGTAATGACTGGCGACTGGCTACCGATTTGAACGATCTATAATGTTATTATCTTAAATTTGATCGAATTATTTATTTTTTTCACACCCCGTATTAAAACCTTATTTAAAGTATTACGAGTTTTAAGTTAGAAACAAATTCCAAACAGTCCTTTTTGCCTAAACTTTAAAGAGAAACAATTTTACGTAGTGACTGCGTTGTGAAAACATAATGATTTTTGCCGCAACTGAATGTTGGATTTTGGGTAACCAAATGTTAGTAACCCTGCAACGCTGCCAACTCGGACAAAAAAATCCTAATGGCTAAATTTCCCTTTTTTGCTATCAATTTTCTCATGAATTGAAAAATAAGTAATTTTAGAAGGAATTGGATTCTTCATTTACATTACATAGGCTGAGAATTTGTTAACTTTAGTTAATAAAATCGGTAATTTTTTAGTAGTGTTAAATATATGCTACTATCTTATATTTTATATTTGACCTTTTAAGATAATATTTCCCATGAAAAGGGAAATTTCTCACAAGCTGGAAGCACTGCTTGTGGTTACTGGGTAGTCATTATTTACAACGCGTCGTTGATAGATGTCGCCAGTTGTATGCGTATCTACATAACTTTTGCCCGCAAACAAACAAAAACAGGAGCGCCGACGGGTCAAATTCTCAGTGGGTGGTTATCGAGCTCTTCATCAAGATTTAAGAGCAATTTTCTTGATTAGTGAAAAGTACATTAGAATAAATAAATTTTACGTGAAGTAACTAAATATACCCTGTTATTTATCCACAAAAATTTGAAATTAAAATGTATACATTTAACTTTGGACTACTTACACTTATTGCAATTTTCTTTCCCAGGAAGGGACATACAATTAAAATGGAAGAACCTCAGGGACGCCTACGTGAGACACATCCGCATGAAGATGGACAGGTCAAAGAAATCCAAGCCCATAAGGTCCTACATCTACTACAACCAAATGTCATTTCTGAGGAGGGTCATCAATCCCAGAGCGAGATCAGGAGAATCAAGGTTCGGGTCCACCTCGAAAACCAACGTAAAGGTAGAAGAAGACGAAGAAGAGGCTGAGCTAACTCAAGAGGACCTCCTCGAAATGGTGGAACACGACGAAAATTCGGAAATAGCGACACCTGGTCTGGACGAGGAAGAAGAGCTCATAACCAACGTGGATCCTCTTCTCCCTGAAGTGGTTGAGAACGAGCTTCAGGACAACGATGACATGAACTTTTTCAAGTCGTTGCTACCCACTTTGCAGACGCTCAGAACGGAGCAGAAGCTGAAATTCAGGATAGACGTGATGGAACTGCTGATGACTTACCATCAGGCGACGTCTGAGTGAAAGCGGCGCAACTATATAGGCTGTGCATTGTGATAGAGAACTTGATGGCTTATGCTCAAGTTACTAAATACTTTTTCTATGACTGTAACGGCATTTAAGCTGTAAACCTTGAGTTTAGCGGCTGTGGAGGTTTCAGATTATTCACTGTTTTTAATGTTAAATAAACATGCCCAAAAATGCACAAATTTTAGTATCAACTGGAATTATCCAGGGAAAGATCAACTCAAAAATGAAGACATAATTATTGGTTTACTCCTTGGTAATTTCTTTTCATCACGTTAACAGTTGAGTGGTTTTAGATACTTGTGGTTATGATTCCCGTAATTAAGAGGTTTAATAAATCATTGAATATTTTGTGCATACAATTAAGAAGTGTAACGTTTTTAAGAGTTTAAGGATGCGTTTTCTTTCATCGAGACGCAACAGTGTATATTCTTTAAAAAAGTGAAGTCTTAGAATTGCATTTTTGTTCCTAAATACGTCACTTTAAATCTGTATATTACGTATTACTAGATTTTCGTACATTGTTTTTAAGTTTATACATATTCCCCTTGTTTCTTTTCTAGACAAAAGTAAATCTGTAGACTTAGAAGGATTATATAGTTTAGTTAGTCAAACTAAATGATTTGCAAAATAAATACTTACCTAAATAGTTAAAATATTTGTATTCTTTCAAACAACAATGAATTTTAAATAAACAAAGAAGGTCGCGATTCAAACCTGGCATATTCCTGGATTGTATCTCGGCAAATTTAAAAGTATGAAATATCTTCAAGGTCTGTTATTAGCGATAAAGTTTTCAGAGGTATTAAAGTAACACCTAAAAAATAGATAAAGATAACAGAACAGGGTCACGACATGGAAAAACATAGATGAAGGACATGATTAAAGAAAACATGATTAAAGAAATGTAAGTAGGTACCTACATCAACTAGTGCAGTAGTTTTCGAACTAAAACAAATCTCTCACTAACAAAAAATGTTCCAGGAACATACCAATTAGCAATAATTTTAACTTTTCGCTACACAGAAAGATGTACAAGTACCTATGTGGACCTGGAGTCTTACGCTGAGACCATCGTGTCGTCTAGGATGTCGAAATGGCTTGGATAATGCGTACAAATAACCCCGATACCTTATCATGTTATCGGAGCTGACATGTTTAATCACCAGATTCGTTCGAAATTACATAAGTTACTCTCACAATAATTATTTTATCTAGATTCTGTTTAATTGTTTAATAAAAGAACATCACAAAATAAGATAGCTACGATTTGGTCCAATAAATAAATACTTTGAAACTTTGGTGAAGCTGAACGTAATAACGAATTATTTTTCTTTGTTAACAGCTGTTATGTTTATATGAAATTTGTCAATTACCAAATGTAGAATTTTATGAGGAAATTAACAAAATCATTAAGATTGATTAGCTATTTAACGTTATTCACGTTATAAACCATTAATAGCTTAAATATGCTTAGCAACGAGTACAGTTTTATCATTGGCAAAAGTTTTTCTTCTCCTAATAAAAAGGTATTACGGACTAATGAAAACAGACGACATTTTAAAAATATGCCTTGTTCGTCACGACGTCCCTAACAGATAATTTCCATTCTGGTTGGCTGTATCGCAGGTGTGAAGGAAACTGTCACGTCATGAGGCCGCTATAAATAGAATGTGGAATAGGTGGTCTAGGCCTAGAGAATATAGATGCGGCAGACACGATTTCACAGGAATGAGAAATAACGGTGACGGAACACGTGCTCTAAAGGGAGGGAATTTGTCCGACACTCCTAATGCCAGGTACACACGTAACGACAAATCGTAACAGATGAGTGGATAGACTCGATACCTCTCATAACAGACTTTTTATACCAGACTTCCAAAATAATAGGCAGTAAATCTCATAAATAAACGCAGTCTCATCTTTACAGGTGCAACTTAGGCATACCCTTTCGTGTCATATGCGTGCACGTGGAAAAACGTTTTATTTTCACATTTTAGTTAATCCAAGGTAAATGAGCGAATTTAACAGGTAAACGATGTTTATCCGAGAATTAAAATAATTTAACAAAATTACATATAACTTTACTCGAATGAAGCAAATTTACATCACCTACTGTGACGCCAAAACAGCCAGTGATCTAGTGTATAATTTTACATAAAATTTTTATGAGTGTAATCCCAATTAAATGATACAGGGTGTCCCTGAAATGGATGGACAACGCTTGACCACAGGTTCCTTGGATGAAAATAAGACTATTTGCCTAACTTACCTATATACAAAAGTGCACGCCTACTGAGATATAGCCTTCTAAATATAGAATAGATAACCTATTTTTTTCAAATAATTTGAAAACTATTTGTCTTAGAAACTTCAAATTTGGTACACTTATTTTTTTATATAAGGGCAAGCAAATATAGAATTTGGAGAGAATACATATACATGATGTTCTATTTCTAGTGCCTGTGCGCCACTGGCTATCCCGTAACTTTTTTGTGTGTATGCCAATGACGACAGAATTTATATTTTTCAAAATAAGCACTATTTTAGAAGATTTTTTTGCTCTTACAAAATTTCGATATCGTTTATAGAATTCGAGAAAAATTCGCATTTTTTATACATTAACTATAGTCAAAAATTCCGATTTATAAAAAATAATTTATCACATTAAAAAAAATAACTACACATTTTTTGTATTAGCATTATCAGTCAATAAAATAAAAATCAACACTAATATTTTAAATAAACAATATCAATTAATAATGTAAGAAAGTCAACATTAACATTTTAAATAAACTGATATTTGTAATCACATTAAAATAATATTACAGTAAATGCTCAAAGTTACTTTCTTGTTCTTAAACGCAAACTAGTTCTTTGAAAATTAGAAATTATCCAATAAATTTGCATTACCTCTCATAACATCAATTTCATGTTGTATTCTTTCCCATATTCGTTTTCTGTATTTACTGAAAAGTTATCTTAAACTGTGGTCCTCAACGCACCCCAAATGAAATAATTACATGGGTTTAGGTCCGGGGATCGAGGTGGCCATTTTAAAGGGGCATTATTTCCTCTACCTATCCACCTGTTAGACCTTTAACAACCTGTAATACCTACCTGTACCCTGTAATACCTGTAACCTGTAATAACTGGTCTTTTAATACTCTATTAAAGGAACTTTTTGAAATCCAACCTCTGCCGCTAAACCCCTTTTATTTACTTGAGGAATTTCTTCGACCCTTTCCAAAATTTGTTCCTCCAGCTGAATAATTCCGGCCGTACATTATCCACAATTTAATGTTACAGGTAAAAAAAAAAGTCCTGTTTCCCGAAGGCGTCTCTTCGCATTAGCAAATGTTTTATGATTTAGAGTTCTTCAATTAGGAAAACTTTCAGCATATGTTCGAACAGTAGCACAACAATTTCCTTCACAATAACCCAAAACTACTAACATATCAGTTTGTTCAGCAAAACTATAAATTGCAATAAAAAATCAAGTGAGCTAAAATTAAATCACAGCTAGCTTGACACAGAACCTTTTAATTATTGTTATGAATTTGTTTCTCTGTTATATGGCACCTCGTACTAAACTGTTCTAATTATTTTAAACCGATTTTATATTATTTAATGTGTAAAAAATGCCAATTTTACTCGAAATCCATAAACGATATCAAAATTTTGTAAGAGGCAAAAAATCTCTAAAATAGCGCTTAATTTTAAAAACATAAATTCTGTCGTCATTGGCGTACATACAAAAAAGTTACGGGATAGCCAGTGGCGCACATGCACTAGAAAGAGAACATCCTGTATATGTATTCTCACCAAATTTTATATTAACATTGTCCTTATATAAAAAAATATGTGTACCAAATTTGAAGTTTCTAAGAAAAACAGTTTTCAAATTATTTGAAAAGAACTAGGTTATCTGTTCTATATTTAGAACGCTATATCTCAGTAGGCGTGCACTTTTGTATATAGGTAAGCTAGGCTAAATAGTCTTGTTTTCATCCAAGGAACCTGTGGTCAAGCGTTGTCCATCCTTTTCAGGGACACCCTGTATATCGAAATGTCTCACTCATTGGGTGCTTCGGTTCTGTTGTGTTACGCAACCAAAGCGCTTTTATTGGGTCTTCAAAGGTGAAGCTAATTACGATTACGCGGTGTGAGGAATCGAGAATGGAGGAAATAGTCGGCGACCGCGATGGATTTCGCGACACAAAACTAGGACTAAGCGGATAATCGCAATAGCAGCAACCCTGCTCACGTTGCGAAACCATAGCCAGTCTCATAGAAAATGAGAGAGCATTGTACGGGTTCTCCCAAGTGAAATAGCCATTAACATCGAATTAAAACGTGGAAACTGTACAAACACGTACTGGAAGCCCACTCTGAGAAAATAACGAAATAGACGGAGCAGTGGCGTCAAGGTGAAAGGTCTAATTGTTGGTAACACATGGCAGATATATTCTAAAAACGATAGTTCTGCTCCTAATTAGGAATTAACAATTTCCTAGGTGGACCATCTGCACTTGCTGTTATCTGCTGTTATCTGTTTTTCTGTTATGAAATGAGGAAATCGACAAACTACTCTATACGAGATGTTCGAAAACTACTAACACAATATTTATTGGAAGTTAGTATTTTTTTTTGAAAATTTAAGTTTCAATGTTTTTTAAATTTAAGTACCTACACCTACAAAAATAAAATAACACTCTGTAGAGTTATATGGCCCTTAAAAAGTAACATAGAGTCAATTCAAAGTTACTTATGAGTGAAATTATTTTGAATGAACCCATGATTTATAAAATAAACGAGATTATTAATACAATTACACAATTTTTAGTTAGAAAAACCAAAATAGTGGGATTAAGAAAATACTATGTAAAAATCAGTCCTTCCCTAGTCAATATTACGTATTTCAGAGTAGGACGAATACAAAGCTATGTCCAAACAACTACCGCGCGTAGCTTGGACTCATACATATAACAAATGGGTTTATTTAATTGTAATCAAGCATTAATTTTAGTTAGTATTAGATGTACCATGGGGTACAAATATGACACATATGCTTTAGTAAGCTATCTAAAATGTTGTATCATGTAACTCATATTTATTTACCTAACAAATAGTTGAGTGAATTCAACAAAAGTGTCATTATTTCAATACAATAGATTCTTTTAGTGTGACGTCACATATTTAGGCAACCCGCAACG